TTTTTTGTTTATACCGTGCACCGTCGCAAACTCGAACCATTATTTTTCAATTTTTGCATGCTCGCGCTTTGTCATCCGCCATTTTCAATAAATTTATTTTGCAACATTGAAATAAATTGATTCTTAAAGTAGAGATTTTTTAGCTTCATTTCCATATTTTATAGAACTTTCTATCTTTATTATTTACGAAGTTATCGTCAGTTGAAATTTGATGAATTTTTCCCACATTTTCAGTGTACCGCTTTTTTTTCGGGTGAGTGTAGATTAAACCAATGTCATCATCGAATGTCCCCCTCCAAACCCAACAACTTTTGTAGAGAATATTTTTTTATCTGACCATTTCTTCCGAAGTTAACAGAAGTGGTCAATTAAAATGGGACAGTCTGTATATATAAAAAGGTAAGAAAATGAGTTTTTTAATTTTTCGTATTTTTTTCGCTGTTAATGATATTTTGACTCATTGGTATCTATAAACTAGTAAAATGTTTATAAAATAAAACGTTTTGGCAAAATATTTTTTAAATTTAACCATTTTTTTATATTAAAATCTTAAAAATCGTTAATCTAACCGGAAACTTTAAATTTAAATTTCTTGGAAACTGGGCGTTTTTGCATACTAGCACTTTGGATTTCGACTACATCTAGTCAGTACTACATGCCTGTAATAGTTGATCAAAATCGGGAGTGGGTCGCATATGGAAGTCTTACCAAATTTTTCCTTTAGCATCTCTGGAATCAGCTCGACAAGACGCTGCCAATTATCAAACAACAGAAAAACGAAAAAGGCAACATTTTCCATGCAATCGTTATAGCAGTGAGAAAGAGGAAGATGAAACAAGTTCCCAAGTTCGTAATAAGATTAAAAGTATGTACATATCACAGAAACTCATCTTACTCTACATTAATATAAAAGTTACCCCATACAGCACAAAATATCCTACATATCCTTAGGACATCTTGGGGAGATCTCGATGTCCTCAGAAAACATCCTTGGGACACTGAAATATCCTCGATGTCCTGAGGATATCCTGAGGATGTTTTGTGCTGTATGGGACATGTGTAGATGTTTTGTTTATCCGCTAAAGTATTGGAGTTAAATAAAATATGTATAGGACCTTATTTGTAAATCATTTTATGAGCTTTATTTTTTATTTGGCAACTTTTTCCGTACAATGAACGCTTTCTGAAATAATTAACAAAAACAGTTTTATCTTTGAGGGGGGCTGGGGGGCGGAGGGGGCATTTGCGCCGAAAATCAATTTGGGAATATTATTTACTAGATAAAATAAGTATTTAGACTAAAAATCAGCCAAATCGGAGGTGATAACTTTTTGGAAGTTTATCTCTTGGGACTATAATCCTAAAAAAATTGATGCCAAATAGTTCATATGTAGAGTGGAAAATTAACGCTATATATGCAAAAAATGCAGGATGTAAATAAAAAGTGTGCAGTAGGAAGTTCAGAACACAGTTTTACATGTTACAATGTGGAACTATAACGTCAGAAGCATGAAATTATTTTTTGCTTATAATAAATGTCAAAATAAATTAATTTTTTAAATAACTATTCGCGTTTGATAATATAGATTAAAATATAACGAAAACTTCCTTTTTTGTTACTTGACATTAGTAAGTGCACTTATAATTTAATTTATATATATTTTTTTGTTTCTAACAAAAATAGAACTATATAACTTTATATCAGTTTATCGAGATATAGCTATATAATATTTACTAATTCACGAGTAACAAACAATGTTTTCGACATTTTTTTCCAATCTGTACTATGGAACGGAGATTTCTTGCTTCTGACGTCATAATCCAATTTAACTGAGAAAATGGGATTCTTAAATATTCAATAATAATAAAAATTTCAGAAGAAGAAAATAATTTTTTGGAAATAAATGAAAATTTAGAGATTGATAACATGCCGGTAACATTTAAAGGTATATATATTGTTTAAAAATTATGACAATAAAAACAGTAAAGAAATAAATATTATATAATAGAAAAAAAATAAAAAAAGAGTAACTTTTGTTTTATATTTTGTTTTATACTTTAGGATGTAATATAATTGACCCAACCTCAACTCAGAACAAAGAAGATTTGGATATAAAACGTAAATATTGTTTTATTATTTGCATTTTAACAACACGCTATTCTTTAATTTAAGATTATTGTTTCTATTGCAGAAAGTATAAAAAAAATTTTGCACATGCAGACTGCAGCGAATATTATGTTGAAAGATGTAAATCAACGTTTAACCAAAATAGAAACTGCTCTCAAGAATCATTCTCAAAAATCTTTTAATGTCGTTGAAAATACTCTTATTGCAAAATTTTTACCTCTTACTACAATAGAGAATATAAAGGAATTCGATGTATTACTAAAAACTACGGATGAGGCAGTGACGCAATTTGTAAGTTGTTACATTGTTTTATGAGCCTAACAGTTGCATTTTATTCACGTTAATAATAATGTATGTGATGTGTATTTTTCTCTTTATAGAAAGAATTTATTTCGAAAATAGGAGGAAATAATTCCAGAGATAATATCCATCGAACTCTCAGAAAAATATTTACAAATGAATGTGCTATGAACTGTTCGTGGAAAGGATTGCGAAATAATTTTCGAATCGTGGACTTGTACATCACGAAACTTATAAAAAGTATGTTATAGACACTGGCAAATGTACAAACCAAAATGTTTAATTAAAATGTTTTCATGAGCTCAATGTATTGTTCTTTTTCTAGGAGAAATAATCTCGTGCTACATAAACTTGACGGAATCAGAGTTTGACAATGTAGCTGCAGAATGGCTACGCTTTTCCAAACAAAGGAAACAAAGGGATGACAATGCCACAAGAAATGAGAAAAATAATCGCATTAATTGAATACATTTACTCGATTTTTACTATACCTAAACTTTGTAGGCAGTAAAGAAATTGCTCTTTTGACAACACATAACTAACTTATGTTAATTGTAACAAATAAGAAATCTTTTTTTTCTTATTCTTGTTAATCTAAACAGTAGATACTATTTTATTTACTTAATAAGAGTCCTATATATAGCATAATGAGCCCAGCAAACACTGAATTTAACTGCAACATAACATGAAAGTAACATGTAATGTAACAGATGTTACACGGTATTTATATTACATTAATATAAATTTCTTTTTTAGACGCAATATAATAGCTATTTCATAGCTGTTACATTGCTTTGTTAGCTTCTCGTTATTTAAAAATAGAAGTAATGTAACATAAATATAACATATTATACAACAAATGTTATATTGATTTTATATTAATGTTATGAAACCTGTCATATAACAATTATTTTGATATTGGTAAAGAAATTTGTATTATAATGTTTCTGCAATAATTTAATTTATTATTTTCAATTACGCGGGATTTATTAGTCATTAGCAGAAACCGGATACGGACTCTAATGTAAATAGCTAATATTACGTTATTTACATTAGGTTATTTAACGGTACTAATGGTATACAGCGCGCGCATTGTCTTCTA